TAACTAAGACAAATAAAATGTCTTTGGTTTATTCTATAATAATATTTGTTTAAATAACAATAAAAATCTTCAACCAGATATTTTCCTTCGTTTTTTTTTTGTTAATTCGATTTTGAAAATTTTTGAGAAAAAAAAAATATTCATTGAATATTGATAAAATCAATTAAACGAATTCAATATCAGAAGATAATCTTATTTATTGAAAATTTTCATTCAAAACAAAAACTTTTTCAACAAATCGATTTTAATCAAATTCAATCAACTTTTTTCTTTCTTAAATTAAATTCCAAGGGATTCTACGTCTAAAAATAAAGATTGACATAATAGGGAATTATCGTCATTTTTCTCTAATATCCTCTATAAAAAGTGTGCTCTAGAAAGAAAAACAAGTGTTAGTCGTAGACAGGCTTTAAAATGGTTATTATTTATCGAATTATTTTCATTGTTTGACAAGCTTTTAGAAAAGGTCGACGTCAATTATCACATTTTCATAGAATTTCAGATGAGTTTATTTTCGTCGCGCTCGATTATGAAAAAGAAATAAATTCTTTTTAAATCAATGATATATATTATCAAATGTTTTTCTTATTGTTTTTTTTTCATGATAAATATAGAAAAAAAGAAAAATAAAGTATTCTAAGGGATCAGTTTTTCTTGTTACTAGATCGGACTAAATATTTCATGGTTTTTAAATATTTATGAACAAAATTCTTTCAAAATAAAAATTTTCGTTAATGAAAATTTGGAAAATTTTTTTTTTTCAAGTAAAATAAATCATATTCATTGTTATAATTATTTTAAATTAGTGAAAAAAGATATAAATATATATGTATAATATTGTATTAAATAAATCAAATAATAATTTTACTGTTAATTGATCTGTTGTATTCAATTGAAATAATTTTCTTGATACATTTATTTTATTTGGTGATTGAATAAACATTGGAGTTAAATTATTTATTGGTGATAAGGAATTATTTATATTTGATTGAATTGATGATATTGTTTTATATGATAAAATACCTTTTAATTCAATATCATTCCATAATGAGGATTTTGTTGAAAAAGCCATTGATGATAAAATATTTTCTTCAATTGATGATAAATATTTAATAAATGATTTTGATTTACTTATTTGTGTACAAGTTTTTAAAAAAATTGGTATGATTTTTAAAAAGCAATACCCATCTAATGAATAACTATGTAATATCCAATTAAAATCATGATATTTATCCGAATGAGCATATAATACTAATAATTATTTAATATTAATTTACTAAAATAAATCAATTTATTTATTTATCCATTTAAAAGAAAAATCGTTTATTGAAATGATTGTTGAATTTGTTGTGAATTAAATTCATTTGAAATTAATGTTTTTTTTTTTTCAATAGTAAAGATATTTTAAATAGAATAATAAAATAATTTTAATGATAAATCAAAACGTGATTTACATGATCGAGATGGATTTTCTTCTCGACTTATTTTATTAACATTTTCTATTAAATCATATTGCCTATTAAATGAATATTCACATTCATTTAAACGTTCAACAAGATCATCTAAGTTTTAAAAAAATAAATTTTATTTTATTCTTTTTATCAAATCGAACATTATTTCTCTAACTGACATATTTTTAAATAATATATTATATTAATTAATTAAATAACTCTAATTTTCATTTTATTCTTATGAAAAATCAATTTAATTATCTCTATTATCTTTATTTTAATTAAAATAAAATTCATTTTTATATATCTAACTGATTACTATTAAAAAAATGTTCGATAAAATAAAATTGTAAATATATATATATCGAATGGTGCACCGACAGTTGAGCCCCCGACAGATGAGCCCCGACAGTTGAGCCCCGACAAATGAGCCCTCGACAGTTGAGCCTATCGACAGTTGAGCCTACCGACAGTTGAGCTCCCGACAAATGAGCTTCCCACATTTGAGCCTCACAAAATTGAAATTTCATCGATTAAATATAGAACACGCGAAATTATTATTGAATCGCTTAATTCACTTGAAAATAGTGCACGGAAACATGAGACATCTTTCGATGGTACTGATGGCTAGTCGATATATTTTTCGTGGCTAAGTCAATCATCTGTACAGAAATGAACAAGTTTTTCGAACAATATTTCTGTGACTCATAAAGGTTTTATCATTCTTGGTATATTTTTCTATTATCATTAACAATGTCAATCATGAAATCTTCAAAAAACAAGGATCAACTGTTACTTAGTGGTTATCGTTATCGTCGTGCAAATAAATCTCAAATTATTTGGCGTTGCTGTCGAAATGACTGTGCTGGTCGTGTACGTTTTGATGGAACAGGTTATATTAAAGTTACGGATCATCTTCATGCACCAAATCCTGAAGAAACAATATCAGTGGAATTCAAATCAAATATCAGTTCTGGTGCAACAATATCGCATGATCCACCACGACGTATTATTCATCAGGCTTTATTAAATTTTTTTTAATATGAGGCTCAAGTGTCGGGAGCTCCGCTGTCGGTAGGCTCAACTGTCGGTAGGCTCAACTGTCGAGGGCTCATTTGTCGGGGCTCGACTGTCGGGGCTCATCTGTCGGGAGCTCAACTGTCGGGTCACGATATCGAATATTATTTTAAGTTAAGAAAATGTTCAAAATAAAATACTCATCATAAATCAATTCGATTCGATTTAAAATATTTCGAAATGAAAATAATATTTTAATCGAGAGACAATATTTATTTTATTCAACGATTTGTTTCATAACAAAAGAAAACAAAAAAATAATCTTAAAAAAGTCAAAATCTAAGTTAGTTTTTTCTTTAAAGTCTTTATACAATTATTGATAAAATTTTAAATCTTATATATCATTCAACGATCATTTTAAATAAATGTCAATATCATACAGATATTTAATTCAATATATTCTCATTTAACAAGAAAACATCTTTAACCAAAAACAAAAATTCCTTTCTTAATTTAATTATTTTTCTTTATCAAAGAAATATACTTAAAAAAAAGAATGTCTGAAATAAATATAAATAAACATTTATTTGTTTAAGTTAATAAAACAAAAAAAGATAGTGATGATAATTGTCTCTGTCTAAAATATAAATTTGAGAATATTTTTTATTAATCGAAATAATAAAAATCTAAAATCGATTAATTGAAAAATCTTTTAATGAGTTCATTTATTTATCTCTGATTATCGATTGTCACGAAAATCATCTATTGGATTTATCTTTCGATTTCTAATAGAATTTTTTTGTCTTGTAAGTCTCTTGTTCATTTTAACGCAAACTATTTATTTGATTTACATCTAATTCCAATCTATAATATCAATTCTATATCGATCAACTCTCAATACACAATTATTATTAAAATATAGTTCAAATCTGATTGTTAATCAGGCTGATTGTCTCTTTCCTATACAAATCAATATGAGTAACACAAGTCTGACGATTCTTATCATAGATTCTAACGTAAAATTTAGCTAAGTACTGTTTGTATTGTCATCAGTCTCCTCCGCCTATCACCGAAAGTAAACTAATCATAGTTGACTTCTAGCTAGTCGCTGCTACTCTGATCAAAAAGGTGACATTGACAAATTGAAATAGGTTTCGAATTAGTTTCACTTGTCGAAAGGCTTTTTATTTTCAATGTATGAACGGGGAAAAACGCAAAAGATAAAGTTAAAAGTTCGATTAAGAGAATCTTATGATGAAAAAACATGATGAAGGTTTGAGAACGAAAAACAAATTTATTTTAAGTTCGATTTGATAAAAAAAGTTTGTTGTCCAATAATTGAAATAAGATTATTTGTTGGTTTTGTTTGTTGTTGTTGATGTTGAACAATTGAATATAATAATTTAATTAATTGATTAGCTTGAGATATGGATGTTAAATATTGATTAAAAGAAATTGTTTGATAATCATTTCAATGTAAAATGTTGATTTGCTGTTAATGATGTTAGATTTGGAGAAGGTTTTGAATATCGATTTTCATTTAATGAATTACATAAGTCATTTAATTGAAATTTATTTTCTAAAAAAATTCTTTCATCAATTATACAATTTGTTAAAACAATTTCATCATATTGACGATTTATATCACGAATTGTTTCCAAATAATTAAATTCATTTAAAAAATCTTCTTTTTTTTTATCAAGAGGTTTAAATAAATCATTTTTTAAATGTTGTTCGATTGTTGATCGACACATATCCGATGAACAACAATACATCATACATAATTTATCGATTATGCTTCTATCATTTGAACATAAATCATTTAAACAACAACCGTAACAAAAAAAAAACAACACTTTTCTTTTTTTTTTAATATCTTTTTATTCAATTTATTAGATTTAGTTTAATTAAATTATTTCGATTATTATATATTTATTCGTTTTGAATAAATAATTCAAATTAGTTTGATTTTGTTGACAACAAATATCGATTTCTAACATAATAAACAACTCGAACAATAGATATTCGATTTATGAAACTCTACAGTTAATCTATCATCTTTTCAACGAAACATTTTCCATAGTTTAATTAGGAAAAAACAAGTAGAATAGATTGAATAACTCGTTTAATATGATGAAATATAATTTCTAATATGAATATAATTGATGAAAATTCTCAGAAGATTTAATAGATATTTATATTTCTATCGTATATCAAGAATATATATTTATATATGAATATAATCATTATTTGTAAATCTTATTTATTATTATATTATTTATAAATGATTATTAATCGATTGTTCATAGTTATAACTATAATATCGTTTAAACGATTAAATTTTTAAAACATGATTTGAAATAATCGTTAATCATATTCGATTATTTACGTTTTCATCGATTAATAATCATATTGACAAGAAAATAGGTTTTTTTTCTAAGTTATCGATATATATATATATATTCGATAAAAAAATATTTGAAATGATTTTTATTTAATAATATATTGATAAATCTCGAAATAAAATATTTAATTAAATTTAATTCTATATCGAACAATCGAAAATTGAATTTGTTTCAGATCTTATTTCAAAGACTTTTAAATAAAAATCCATATTATGAAATAGATTTTTATTTTAAAGAATTCCAACGAATTTTTAAAAGTAAATTATCTTTTATATAGAAAATAAAACATTTAAAGTTTAAATAAAATAAACAAAAAAAAATCTATTAAGAAATCTTCATTTGATAAGAAGTGAAAAAGAAAATTTTTAATTGAAAAAAACTAAAATAAAAAATGATATGTTAATAATAAAGTCGATTAAAATGATATATATATATAAATAAAATCTTCTAATAGAATGTTACCTTTAAGTATATAATCTAATTTGGCTAATTTGACATAATCATAAATAAAAGAAAAAACTAGAAATAAGTAAATGAAATGAAGCAATAAGATCATTGATAGTTGATGGATAAATTGTTTTAGCTAATGCATATATTGTCCATATAAGTGAATATAAATCTTGATGTGAACATTTATTTAATTTATTTTTTGTATTTAATTTAGGATTTATTTGATTTGATGTTCTTTTATATTGATAATCAGAATAAATTAATTTATATTGATTTCCATCAAATATTTCACTAAATATTTTTGTATATTTTTCATATATAATTGATGATATATTAAAAACATGTTCAACACTTGTTCGATTTCTGATCGAATTGAATCAGGTAAATTGGCCATATCTTCCCATTTATGTAATTTATCAAAAAAAAAACAAATAATTCTAAATGATTAGCACTTTTTAATAAACTTGATATTGATATTGGATTATTCTGATTTGTTGTTAGATGTTTATATCTTCTACATGATACATATAATAAAATAGCTAACCAATGTAATTGATCACCTTCTAAAGCATAATGTTTACGAATATGTTCATATGAACGCCATGCATCTAACTTTGTTTCCATATCCATATTTAAATCAAGACATGATTTTGAATATAACATTTCAATTGATTCATCATCTTTATTTGACATTTTAGCTTTTTTTATTCTAAAATAATAAAAAAAAACAAAATGATTGACATTGGGTGTGGGTATGGGGTGTAGAGGTGAGATGACACTGAAGAGAGCCACCTAAACGCCCACTTAGGATGTGAGTGTGGGTGTGAATCTGCATCTAGGCCTGTGTGTTGATATTTCTTTCACTCACACCCAAGATAGAGGCGAAATGTTTTTGTTTTGCTGATTCATAAAGTGTGCAACAAATATCCATGTTTCCATTCATTTACGCAAATTGAAAAAGAATCAGGAGGCCATCACTATCATCCTCTTTATCATTAAAATGGACAAGAAAAATTTTAAACTATATGCCAGTGGCACATCGTCGTCTACGGCAAGTAAGCCAAATAAGTCATTCACAGCTGCGCAGCACCAACGATAGTTGTGAGTAGAAGAGCTGGGTGTGGGTATGAGTGTCTTTTTTTGTTGAACATCCACATATACACCCTATTAGAGCTATAACAGTATCAAGAAGCGATGAATATTTATATATCTACTCTTATCTACATAAAACTGTGCATGGGTATAAATAGAAAGTTTTTTTTTGTTTAATTTAGAAGAAGTCGATGACCATATAAAGGTCATACCTTCAATAATAAGTTGTTTCGTTGCAATAGGATTGTTATCAGTGACTATTATGATCACATCAACGATGAATTTCTTTCTTTACCACCATCTATCGTTGTTTGGCATCAAATAAAATCACTTAGTATTACACAACCATTCAATTCAACTCATCTTTGTCTTTTTGCAAACGACTAATCTACGTACTCTGGAACTGCATTATAGATCAGAATATGATACTAAACGTTATTTGAAAGAGGAAAATTTAATCTATCTATTCGATAATATTTCTTTGTGCAGAATGCTCATGTCAAATGGCTTACGATAACTCAATCTTTTTTCTGTTTCGTGACAACCAAATTTGGTAAACATTGCCTATTTAATTGTCGAGCGACTTACTCATTTGCAAGTCATTGAAGTATCACATTTACTTATCAACGATCTTCTGAAATTAAAATTTCTTACTATTAATGGCGAAGATGAATATGACCAACTTTATGAGAAACAATTGCATGATCTACAAAGTTCAAATACTCATTCTTTTCGAACAGAAATTCGTAACACAATAGATGAGGATACACTTTTTGTATGATTATAATAAAATGAAACTGCTAATATTTCTTTATTTCTTTGTACTTAGACTGGTTTTATGAAAGAATCATAAGAAGTTTTCAATATGAATAAAGCAAAACTTTTTGAATTTTGTTGTATATATTAAATCAGATCCAAATGATTATCATCAAATCATAACTTGTCAAAATGTATTTGACATTAAATTATACTAATATTCTTTATTAGTTGTACAATAGAATGTATACAAAAATTACTCCTACATGTAAACAACACTAATATTTGACTAAAAGATATTTTTTATTATTAATAATCAATTTATTTCCAGTTACATTTTGACATCAAACGCTATTTTAACTCCTCTTCCCTTTATCATCTTGTTCTATTTCCTTTCTCACATATAACTGACCGAAAATAAACAACTTGAAATGTATTCTATTTTTGAATATTCTTACAATAAATAATTATATTATTTCAACTGTATCCTTATATTAATATTTTTGAAGTTAAAAGTTATTATAACATTTCATTGTTCAATAACAGTAACATATTTAAACTAGACCTCCACTCAAACTAAGCACGAGTAGAAAAGACGCCTGACTGCAGAATTTTCATAATACTCATATATGTTCATAGTTATTTTTTAAAATCTAATTTATCTCTTATTAATAAATGAAGTTGGACATTGATTGATAACGAATATTAATTGCATATCATTTTATTAGAACATTATTGTTTTTTTTTATTTTGTATATATAAATCTTCGAGACTCTTTCATGGATAAATTTAATTTATACAAAATGATAATTAACGCGTATATGCATATAAGATACGAGATATCAATGGTCACTAGAATACTAAATCATTTATAACTATATAAAGAAATTACCAGGGTGTGGGGTGTGGGTGTGTGGGCGTGGGTGATGTGGGCGGGTGTGGGTGTGGGGTGAGTGTGGGTGGGTGTGGGTGTGGGTATGGGTGTGGATGTGGGTGTGTGGGTATGGGTGGGTAAAAGGAACACCCACACCCACACCCACACCCACACCCACACACCCGCACCCCACACCCACACCCCACACCCACTCACCCACACCCACCCACATCCACACCCACCCAAGTATCTTGTTGAGATACATCAAAAACTTTATCTATGGCCGAGGCACTTCCATTGGAAACATTGGAATCAAAGATAATTGGTCACTTAGTTGGTCATTATCAGGTCGATGATCAAGTTGCAAAATCGATTTTCGATGCAACGATGAATTTATATCATCGTGTTCCGACGATAACCGATTTAAATGAATTAAATTCCATTGATAAACGAATGTTATATTGTTTAATCTATATCATTTGCGATTATTGTGATAATACACGATCGACAAAGTAGATATTTAAATCCAAAAAAAAAAATTTTCTTCATTTTTTTTCATTTTTAGAGTGTATTTTAATGCTATGATGTTTATTTTCAACAATGGCAATGCCGATGCTGAATATGCGTTTAACCAATGGTTAGGTCATGAAACACAAGTACAAAATATTACCAAGGGATTAAAAGTCTTGATCTATTTTCTTGAAGCTTTACGAGAATATTTTGTGAGTAAAACATTATTGAAAAACACAAAATAAATCAATTTTTTTTGGATTATTTTAGAAAACAGCAAATGTTCAATCGTACGATAACTTCAAGGATATATTTAAATCGATGAATAATAATATCCGGTTACTCGATGATGTAATAAAAGAAAGACGACGAACTGACCGAATGCCAATGATTAATAAAGTAAGAAAACATTTTGTACTTCTAATCATTTATTTTTTTTTGCTGTTTTAGATCAAAAATAATTTTGATTCATTTATGTAAGTATTCAT